TATTCTCAGATATATAGCAATACCTTTGGCTGCTATTCGGTGATCATCCATGATCATGTCATGGATGGCTTTCGCATTTGCAGGCACAGAGACAGAAACAGGCCTTCCACTGGGTTTCTCATTTTCAGCACCAAAATGGTCAGTTTTAAAATTGACAACCCACTGTTTGACTGTTGCATATGAAGGGCCACTGTCACCCATAGTTGGTGACATTTCATCATGGATCTGCTTTGCACCTTTCCCTTGGAGAAACAGGAACTTGATTATGGTCCTATGCTCTTCCATACTGAACTTTTCTGAAGGTGCTGCCATGTTCACTTTGGACTTGAACATGAAAGCTAAGTTAAAATCATAGGCAGTTGATTTTTGCACCATTGAATACAGCCAAATTGGCCAATACACCCTGCAAATTATAGCTTCCTAGCTCAATTTTTTCTGGGAAAGGCTCAATACTTATCAGCACTCCCTCGTATGCATTCATGGGGACGTCATCTTCCTGTTGATCCATGATGCATCCCAAAAGGTAGCTGGACCAGCTTGGGCTCAAGGGAATTCTGCTGTGTCAGGGAATTGCTAATGCAACCAATAAATCTGTGTGGCCCAATTGTATCCAGTATCAGGTGGGTAGTTATGGGTATGGCTTTTTCCCATCCAAGAACTGTGGCATAAGCAGCACTAGGAGCACAAACAGTATTGTGGTAAAAAAAAAGTGCATAGGACATCAAGGCCTTGCTAGGACTCTATCCAAGACAATGGCTTGGAACTCCGTCATCGCTGTCTTAGAACTACAGAGCTGGAAGGGACCCTGTGGCTCAAGTCCAGTCCCTCTCAAGGAGGCAGAGTGGGGGATTGAACTCTTAACCTCTGGCATCACATCCAGATGGCTAAACCACAGAGCTGTCCAGCAGTCACTTGAACTGCTTTCCGGTGAACATTGCTCTCCCATTCACAAAGAAGTCATATTCAAGAAATGGGGCTGTACCTCCTTTCCAGCCTTCCTGTGTCTCCCAAAAAAACTTATTCTTGACATTGCAGATCTCTTTGGAATTGTAGGATTTTTGACTGGCCAGTTTGCAGAAGTCACTAACTCTTCCACAAAGAGTTATTCTGCTGATAAGCTGGGTTTATGCTTTATAGTCAAGGCTATGTTAAGCATCCCAACCACCACCTGGGTTAGAAATGTCTGAAATACACATGATTATCATCAAGAATCATCAAAGTTCTAGAATGGCTGAGAGGAAATAGACATATTCAACATGGTTCAAACACGAAAGCAAGGCCATGCCAATGGTAGGGAGAGATACAATGTTGGGTGGAGGACAGTCTGTTATGAGTGATGTGTAATATCTGCCTCTTCTCTTCACAGTCAAGAGAATTGAGGTAACCTCAGTTGACCTTCTGAGCTGCACATGTTGCTGTTAAATGCCAACAAAACCAGACCACCTACTCCTCCATGTGCTGGCTAGTATCCTTGTGAAGGAGTCATGTGTAATAATTTAAAACACACAGGATTCCTGCAAATTAGGAGGCCCTATACTTCTCTTTCACATGACATCCTGATAGGAGAGCTAGCCCTCCTTATCCAGTCACATATGTCTTCAATGCAATGAGGATGATTTTTTGAACCTGACATAGTTTATCCTATTACAGGGTTGGACCAAACCTCAGATGACGTGAACAAGGAAGTGAGAGTGGGAATCAGAACATGCAGGGATGAAGAGAAGAAGACACACATTTTAACAGCCAAACCACCTGATTGAACTAGTATGATAATAACTCTTTTTAAAAAATGAAAAATTGAAAAAATATTATCCTCAAATTAAAACTATGGCTGAGCCTAAGAGACACCAGCTTGACTAAGGTTACCCATTGAATTCTTAGGCAAGACTGCATTTCAACAAGGACATGCTTCCTCTTTAATCACTCATTCTGCTCTACTCTTTCAGCATAGCAGTTCACCATCCCCATAATGAGAAGAACAGTTCCCTCACATAAAGCACTTGAGACCCACAGAGTGAAATAAACACACAATTTCTCTCAGATGGGTTGACCATTAGGGCAAGAAGTGGGAATGTCCATGAGTCCATTTTCCAACCTGCAGTGTCACATCCGGAACCACTCTCGGCCCTACAGGTGCCAGAAACAAGATTAGCCTGTGTTTCACCTGATGACATCACCAGATTTCTGTGAGAATGAGAATGGTAATATTTGTAAACTGTTCTGTATACCAGGAAGTGGCTATCCGTATTGTTATTCATAACAAAGTCTGCAAAGAAAAAAACAAACTACCTACTTTACACAAACATTCAGAAAGTCAACAAGCTGTGGTCCAGAAGGAACACCGCTTCTGAAAATGACTTTTCCTAAAACTTTACTGTTGTGATAATCCATTTTATTACTGCAGTGTAATAGAAGTAAATGACATCTAACCTTATGGTGTTTCTGATGTAACTTCTTGTAAGCATCTGTATAATTCAAAATCCCCAAGTTACAGCCAGAACGCCACATATTTTGCAAAACATTAAAGTTATAATTTCTTCTCCTAGCTCCAACCCAGAGTCTTTGACAGCCAGATTTCAATTTGACAATCTGCTTTTTCCAACTCCAAAACTGTCTAGTAAAAGCTATTTGACTTTCTCTTCTTGATGCAACAGTTCAAAGCACAAGAGCATCTCTCATTGTAAAAAGGTGGCAATACTGGTGAAAACATGATCTAGTACCAAATACACAAGCAGGTCACCCCACAGGGAAGAAGTGAAATGAGTGAGTGATTGACAGACCTTTTGCTAACTTCATGCACTTTTCAAGATGACACTAGTTTTGGATATAGTTTTAGAACAACAAAGAAAAAAGAAGATGAAGATAAAGATGAAGTAGTCACAGTAAAGCTAAGGAATGTGTGCAGCTCAGATATTCCTGGACTACAGGTCTCATCACTCCTCACCACTGGTTATGTTGGCTAGATTATGGAGAATTGCAGTCCATGCTAATATGTTTCACAAAAACCTGCTTCATGTATTCAAATGTGGAATAATATTCATAAATAATAATTTAGATTTATAGAAACATAAACATTGAGGAGGAGCTGCCCTCAAAGGGGGTGGGAAGCATCAAATTCATTATCCACAGCATTGCACTATCGTAAAAGGAAATGACACTTTTACTTATTCATATAATTGCAGCACAGTTCTTTGAGCTTTGGCTGAAACACAGACACCATGAAACAGCTTTTTAAACTTAGGCAACAGAAGCTGCACAAGAAAGTAAGTTAACAGTCTAGACAAATTAACAGGTGTTGTACATCAGACACTGAAATAATCAACTGTGAAGTTTATCCAAAATATCTTTTTAAGGACCTCCACACCTCCTTCCACCAGCAGAAAGAAAACCCAAACAAAAACTAGAAACTGCTTCTGTGAAACATTCCTTGAACTCTGTTGAAGAGAACAGAAACCAGAGAGGTTGTCTAAATACCATCTGGAATAATAGTTACTTTCAAAAAGAGGGCTTGCTTTGTTTAAGTAGAAGCATGCTTCCCTCCTCAGATGTCAGAAACTGAACAAAAAAAGTTGCATAGCACCAGGTATTTACTTCCCATGCCACTTGCCACTTATGTGCAAAGCCTTATAATGAAGGGGTTCACTCTAGCAACCATCTCAAGAGAAATGAATACTGAAAAAAGTAAGATCTTTGCCAGGCTTTAAAAGTCCACACATCCATTAGTCAATTTTTTCAAAGCTCTTTCATAAACAACATTCAGATTAAACATATATGTGGATAAAACCTACACACATTCTTGTGTCAGGAGTCCACTCCTCTCTGTTTTAGCCATGCGGACTCACTTCAGCCCCTGGCTAGGCATCACAGCTTTTATTAGGCATGTTCATCAAACACTGGACAATATTTGCACATAAATCAGGAAACAACCGAAGCGCCAGAAAGGTGGGTGTCAGGACAAATACAAGTACACTATACAGGGCATCACTGCTTACCTTCTGTGCATGATTCCACATGCAAGGAAGTACCATTCACAGAGCTGGGTCTCAGAGCCCTTTAAAGGCACCGAGAGAGGAGGAGAGGCAGCAGTAAAAGGACACGAAAAAGAACTCCTCCTCTGTCCAAATGCAGCTGCCAAGCCTCTTCAGGTAACAAAAGGACAAGGCTACTCTGTGAGTACTTTCTG